TCTTGCTCACATTTCAATCCCTACCTGTTGTTTCCTTTCTTCCATCACCAATGATAATCCTGGCTTCCTTTATACCTATTCTGTCCAGATGTCTGATTCTAGTCTTGTGTTGCCAGAGTTCTGTTTCCTTCAAGCCTGGTGACTGATGTGATTGGCAATGAATTTTCGAATTGGTGGATTCAATTCACTCATGTTTAGTATAAGAAGTTTCGGGTTTGAGTCTAGGACCATGGGGAAGTTCTTATTTCATCCCTCATTTATACACTAAGTATCACACTAAGGTGATTTTTAGTTATGACAGTGAATCATGATGACCCAGGCTGCTTTAATATGAAACTCTTCACATCTTTTAACCTCTCCTGGACATTCCCCAAACTAAAGCAAGCAATATTTCAAAAATCCAAACCTGAGCACACTCCACTCCTGTCTGAGCTTCTTCAGTGGCTTCTCTGTTACTCTCAAAATAGCCCAGGGGCCAGTTGGGTCTGCCATTTTACCTTATTGCACACTGCCCTGAGCACCAGGCTCAGGCACCTTGACCACAGTGCCACAAATGGCCCCCTATGTCCTTCACATGTGCTGTTCTCTGTTAGAATGGCCCCTTTCTTCCTCTGTATCTGGATAATGACCGCTAAGTGTCAGCTTCAGTGCCACTTCTGCAGGATGGATGCTCCTGATGCTACTTACTGAGTATGGTTCCCTGGCACCAGATCTTCTGGATGGATCCTACACAAATGTGCAGGTTGTACACCAAACAAGTGTGCAACACCTCTGGATGCCTTCACTTCCAAGACAAGGTGGACTTCAATATTTATTCTGATTATTTATAAAATGTCTCCCAGAAGGGGAGCTATTTTAAAAATTGTGCAAAAATGTGCTGATTGGCTTATCAATTACCTCATTTTACTTCCTATCTAATACTTTATATAACACTTGCCAGATCTGACAGTATTTGATAGCTATTAATTATTCATAAAATGGTCATAGTTTAGATTCCACCTCTTATACCAGAGTGTACATCCCCTTTGAGAAGATAATGCTTCTGTTTGGGTTACTGTCACACCCTCATGGACTGCTTTTTCTTCTGCCACTTAAGACACTCAGTAATATGTGCCAAGTGGAATAAGCTGGGGCTGGCTGTGTCCTGGCTCAGTGGGCTAAGATGGCTGCAGCTGGAGTCTTCAGCACACAGAGCTGCTCCTTTAGTTCTGCACTCATGACTGGTTCATGCCTGTTGGTAGAAAGCAATCTAATCACAGGTGGCCAGTGAGTTGTCCAGTCTGACAGAAATGCCAAAACTGGTCATTACCCAAGATGCTTTGGAAAAGTAACCAATTTAAAAAATCCCAACATTTTCATCTTTTCTTGTAGTTATAAGCAAATGTTTGCACTGAAAAGCATGGGAAGTAGAGATAAAGTACTGGTAAGTTTAATACGTGTGCTTTCTATCAGTGTGTAATAGGATACAGCATCTTAGAATTTATTTTACAAGGTTTTATCCAATAGTATGATAAAATCTCGTACTCCTGAGGCCCCAACTCCTCCACAGCGGCAGCCACACTCTCTGCTTTCAGAGACCCAGACCCGTTCCCTGGCAACCAGAGCTGCCTGAAGGCATCTCAGTGCTCTGCCAATCTCAACTTCACTTTATTTTGGCCATTAATTTGGTTAAAAAAAAGTGGGGGGGGGGAATAAGGGCATGCAAATAAAACAACCATTTTTTATTATAATTAGTGTTATTTTATCTTCAAAAGACTGTCTGAACTTGTAGAGGTTTCTTATCAATGATCCAAATTAGAATAACATCTGACAGTTTAAGTCACAGACTGGGGCATTCTGCATCCTGCTTTAGTTAAAGAGGTACATCCCAGAGAAAAGCCTTCATGCACACAACATATAGTCTGCCCTCTTGTGCGTGGGCTCCACATCCACAGATTCAACCAACTGCAGATTGAAATATTAAAAAAATTTTTTTTTACTGAACATTTTCTAACTTTTTTCCTGCATTAGTCCCTAAGCAATACAGCATGACAGCTATTTACATAAAGCATTTGTGTTGGGTTAGGTATTGTGAGCAATCTAGAGGGGGGATGTGCGTAGGTTATATGCAAATGCTGCACAATTTTATATAAGGGACTTAATCATCTGTGGATTTTAATTAATATGTGGGGGCTCTAAGTCAATCCCTCTAGATGACTGTACAGGTGAGAATTGTTGGGATTGTGTCAACTTGGACACCTCTACAGTTTTTTACATTTCAGGTAATACATTTTCCTTTCTTCTTTTCTGTCTTTGCAAAATATTTCCTTCCTAAATTTGCTTTGTGTTGGGGGAGGGAAGAAAGGATCTGTATTTGTTCTGTTTAGCAGAAACACCTGTGTTTCAGACACTATCCGGTTTTACCAGCTTGTGAACCAGCTGCATGCTAAATAAAGAAACAGCCGATGAGGAGGAGGGCAAGAGGAGGTTAGGTACTATAGACACACTGCAAAAGTGTGTAGCACAAAGGCAGGTATCTTTACTGCGGGACATCATAAATAAATAGATATGTAGTAAATAGATAAAAAGATAGATGGATAGTGCTGCACATCCCAATACTTTTCTTTGACAAACTATTTTTACTTCTTTTCAACTCCAAAACTACTCAGTTTTTGTTAATATCAAGCAATTTATTTTGTTTTTTGCAGTACTGGGAGTTGAACTCAGAGCTTTTTGTTTACTAGGAAGGCAGACCACTCCAAGTAGTTAGTTATTTTGGGAACAGAATCTTGCTTTATGCCTGGGTCAGCCTGGACTACAGTCCTTGTGTTTGTGCCTCCCTATATAGCTGGGATGATAGATGTGTGCCTCCTCACCCAGAGACTGGATGAGATGGGGGCTTCTAGAATATTTTGCCTGGGATGTCCTCAAAGCATAATCCTTCTGATCTCAGTCTTCCAAGTAGCAAGGATTACAGACTTGAGCCATCCCACTTGACTCAAACCAAAATAAACATCTTTTCTGGGCTGAGTGGTGGTAATATGGGATCACTCTGGAGGAAGTAAGCCCCTAGACATACAGGGAACACTCTGGCTGCCATCTTCTTTATAAAAACAGAGGACACCCTTAGATACATAGAGGACACACTGCAAGGCTGATGTTTTGCAAAAGCAGATGTTCCTTTCCAATGAGAGTTTGCAATCAGACTTCAAAGATGCAAGATTTGATAATAATTCTCAAAACTCAGAGTTGAAGGGACACTTTTGGTCAAAGGGAAGTTTCCTCTTTGTTCTTCATTTTGCATGGCTATAAAGAGTTATGCATTTCCAGAAGACTCAGATGGCCAGATCTCCTTTGGGGTCAGGGTATCTCTTCTACCTGTCATCTGATAGGTGGAAGGGCTGTATCAGCCATTATGATGGCTAGGTGTGGGCATGAATATGAGCTAAGACATGCAGCTGGGGCCCAGGTTTGTTGGTATGGGACTGAATCAACTGCAGAAATTCAAGTGCTTCACTCTTGGTCTCTCCTCCAATCCAACCTGCAGTACTGGATGGGAAAGGTGAACTTCTCCACTCTCTTCCAAGATGTTCCCCTCAGTGACTGAGCCCTGTATTCCTACCTTTGTGCCTTTGTCCATCAGGTCTCTTTGCCCAAAAGAATCTAACACTCAGAAGAATTTGACAAAGGTCTTTAGACTGCCAGAGTTATGCAAAGAAATTGTGGCTTGAGTACACAGATTCAGATTCTCCATCTTTGGTAGAGAAGGTGCTATGGTGAGGGAGAAGTGGGGAGAATGTGATGGCTGTTGGGATCAATGCAAGATGAGACTGTCACCCAAATGGACCAGCAGTGAGGCCTGTGTTTGTTTCCCTAGGTAAGAGCACACAGTATAGATAGTGCCTGGAAGGTGCATTTTACATGCAACCTGCCATCCCTGTTAATAAAGACTGAGAGTGACAGAAATATTCTGTTTATGCATCTTAAATCATTAATGTTTTATGACCTGGTCTTACTCTAACTGGATCATTGTGCTACTTTATTTGGAATGCTCCAATAACTAAAACTCAAAATTGTGACGCCTTTTCTCCTCACCTGAGAAAAGACCTGTCCTGTGAACTATGAAGACAGTAAATTTTGGACACATTACAAAGAATCTGTTGCACACTGGTACTAAGGAATATGCGCGCCCTTTCCTATTACTAAATGGAAATGGCCCAGAACTCAGCCCTAGGCCTCTGGGAAGGCTGCTGGGCCACTAAGGGAGGCAGTTAGTGCCCGGGGTGAGCCTGTGGGGCGGGTGGGGCGCATGGCTGCGGGGCTGGGAGAGCTTGGGATGGGCGGGGTGGGGATGGGCGGGCCTCGCGCGGGCGCGCCTGCCGGGCTCTCAGCCCGCGGGTCCCCTGCGCCTGGCTGGCATCTTAGCTGCGTCCCATCCCGCAGAGCCGCCTCCAGTAGTGGGAGCCGCGCACCGAGCAGCAGGGACGCGGGGCGCGCTCGGCAGAGCAGGCACCTTCGGGCCAGAGAGCCCAGACCGGGGCCAAGAGCCAGGGACGCTGGGAGGCAGGTGCGCGGCGACCCGCTAAGGCTGAGAGGGACCTGGTAGCGCGCGGTTCAGCAGCGACCACTTCGCCTGTCTCTGTGAACCTGGGGTGAGCTTTGGGCTTTCAAGGCGCAATCCTAGCTATGGCTCAGTGCTCGGGATGGGGAGGCGAGGAAGGTTCCTTGCCTTTGGAAGCCCAGATGGGCAATCTAGGGACAGTTACACCAGTGGACATTGCCGGGGATGAAAGGTGGGGATCTCAGGAGCCGGAGGAGGCTACAGTACTCTTTTGCCTGGCACCCAGTGGCGCGTAAGATGGAGGGGATGGCAAGGAGAGGTTAGTAGTCACTACTCGCCCCCGGAGGAAGTGCGGCCGGGTTGGGTGTCAAAGGACCGCGGGTCTCCAGCGCTGCCAGCCTCTGCGCGCTGCCCTGGCGTGGGCAAAGTTTGCTCCTTGGGTCCAGCCTGTCCTCTCTTCCCCGCAGCCCCGCAGGTGCCGCCTCTCCTCGCCCCACAGCTGCAGTAGTCCACCATGGAGTCCCCGGTCCAGATCTTCCGCGGAGAGCCAGGCCCCACCTGCGCCCCCAGTGCCTGCCTGCTCCCCAATGGCAGCTCTTGGTTCCCTGGCTGGGCCGAGTCCGACAGCAATAGCAGCGCCAGCTCCGAGGACGTGCAGCTGGAGCCCGCGCACATCTCCCCGGCCATCCCGGTCATCATCACGGCGGTCTACTCAGTGGTGTTCGTCGTGGGCTTGGTGGGCAATTCGCTGGTCATGTTCGTGATCATCCGGTGAGCACAGTGTGAGCGGGGCGGCAATGGCAGGGCGGGGCAGGGAGGGGGCCAGCCGGGTGTAGGACAGCCAGCCAGGTGGCGGGGCTCTCTATTCCCTAAAGGCTTTGGGAAATCTCAGAGGGTGACATCGTACAAGGTGTAGTTTTTAGCAGGGGACTTCAGATGTCCACGCAGGGCAAATCCGAGCTGCCAGAGGTGCCTGGAGGATTTAAGAGACCTGCTCTCCTGGACCCCAGGGCTCCAATCCCCTGCTATAAACTCTGTAGGAAAAGTAGCCAGATTCAGACCACAATCTGTGTGGGAAAAGTACCAGGGTTCAGACCACAAGGTAATGTCTCCAGGTAAAGAAGTTGGTCCATTTGCAAGGTCTCTTGCCTGGTTGCCTGCTCCAGTTTGGAGCACTTTGGTTAGCCCTTTATAAGTATTTCTTAAGGCAAATTTTATGTCCACTGAATGCTCTGGAGATAATTCTGAATTTCTGGTGACTCACCAACCAGACTGCTGTTATGCCTTGTGAAATAAAAGCCAACATGCTATTTAGGATTGTTGATATCCATATGGCAGCCCTTTTAGTACTGAAATGCTTTCTCATTTCTTTAGAGTATTAGCTTTCTAATATTTAATCTCTAAACCATGTGCTGTGGAGATTGCTTTGCTATTTTCCCCAGCCGTGACAATTTGAAGGTGTCACTGTATTGTTCCCTTGAGTAATTTTCTTGAAGTCAACATCCAATGATAAAGTTTCAAATAACCACCCTAATATTCTGGTAAGTGAAATGATTCTTATTTTTAAAAAGGCAGAAAGAAAAGAAAAACTTTGTTCTGCATGCCCTTTGATACATACATGTTTTACTTTCTTGGAGATCTAATGCTTCAGAAATACAGCTTTGAGAGTGCATAAGAAGCTTGTATTCTTTTGAGACATTGCTAAAAATGAAGGAAGGATGCAAGTCCTGGTTAGGGACAGTGAAAGGATGAAGAACTGACTTCTTGCTGTTCTTTTTCATTTTGACTTCAATTTTGAGGCAGATTCTTTATTTACTATGACCTTTAAAAGTAATATCTACAACAGCATGTGCGTTTTCCAGGGAAATCATCATAATACTTCTTAATCTTTTTTGGAAAGGGGGGGCTTTGAAATGCCCATCTATACTCTGAAATTAAAAGCCATCATTTAAGCATATTATAATTGATCAATAAATTAATTCATATTATAAAGCTCATTTCACCTAAATTAGTGCATGTAACTTGGGGCCTTTGCTTTCCATAATTGCTTAGCTGAATTTCACAGGAATTCTGTCTATGATGAGTAATGTCCTCCTAGCAGGGAAATATGTTAAAGGCAAACTATTTATCCAAGTTATCAGTAACTCCAGGGCTAGTCATTAAAGAAAAGAAAAGAGATCTGCATTCTAAATTATAATTAACATTTTTTTCAGGAGCTCTAAGTACAGAGGCCATGTCTTTGGTAATAAAACACTGTTACACAAAAAGAGGACTCTGGTTTTTAAAAATCAGCTCTGTTCCTCCTCATGTCATATTAAGTGCTTAAATAAAAAGCAGACACATCTTACTGTTGTTTGAATAAGCACCCAAAGTCTTGCATTTAAAGGGTTTCCTACTTGCTCTACAACATTGTAATGGCCCTGCAGACTAGGATTAAAAGCAATGAAGAATCTTAAAATAGCACTTAGATGCTATGTGCAAAGATAGATGCATCAGAAGGACAAAAAGAATTCTTGTAGATTAACTATAAGTTTTAATGAATAGATTTTCTGAAGATATCCAGCACTAAGCTTTGGTACTTGAGATCAATTCAGCCAAAATATTTTAAAAGTTAGAAGTAGTTCACAACATCATCCATCCTCTCACCCCATTCTCAACTCCTTAGATGTTTAGTTTGATAGTAAGTTAAAAATAAAGTGCTATACTGTCGCCTACTGAAATGATAGTTCACTTCAATCCATTGCAAAAAGGGGAAAGGAGTTTTTAGAATTTGTTCACACTGATAGATGATCAAAGAATTGAAAAATAAAACTTTCAAAGAAAAGTTGATGCACTTGCATTTATCTCAGGGGAAAAACAGACTAAAGATTTGAGAAATGTAACAAGAAAGGGGTTATGGTGTGCTGGTCAGAACTGAGCAGAGCCATCCATACTGCAGCTCTTCTAACTGAAGTTGGTCCTGAGCAATTTTGCTTGGAAAGATGGAGGATTCTTTTGAGAAGGAGACTATTTTAAAGTATTCAACATGGAAAAGGGTCTTAGCATAGTTCCATCTTTCAGAGAGTCATTCTAGAAATGGAAATTAGACACTCAGATGGTGGTCAGGAGCAGGTCTAGGATGACCCGCTCTGACGTAGGGAGAAAGTTAGAGCTGTGGACAAGTGTTGACTATTTTTAGACAACATCTTGCCTTACAAGTTGCTTTTCCTACCTTGGGCACCTGGAATGCTGCCAGTATCTTCTGAAGATATTCAAAGTTTCAAGGGTTCTCAACACTTAATGTGTGCCAACTGTCACAACCCCCTAAGGTTAAGACGCATTAACATTTCACTGTGAACACCTTAAAACTTGTATGCTCCAGCCTCTCCTCGTGGAGCTGTGGTCCTTGGGTGTGGTGACTGGTGTGATGCTCAGGATCCTGAGTCCATGGCCTTTTGATTTCCTCCTTTGCAGGTCACCATCAATACCATGATATCCAGCATAGCTACACCCTTGACCTTGCCAGTCAGCCCTATGTCTGATACCTTGAGCATCTGTTCTATCTGCACCACAACTTCCCACACTTACAGCTGTCTCCTTCCTTAACAAGGATGATTAAAGTTTAAGGAACACTTAATATGTGCGAAGCAGGGAAAACTACTTACCTCATGTGAATTTTATTAATCTTCATGTAAATTATATTATTTAATCTTAACAACCATCCATGTTATTACCATACCACTTAACACATCAAGAAACTGTAGAAAAAAATGATAAACTCAGGTCACACCTTGCTAACTCAGGAGACCAGACCATCCCAATAGTCTGTGTTCTCATCTAGTCTGCTCTTCATTTTTCACTGGACTGTTTTTACAAACATTTGGATGCCTTCTTCCCTGGAGGTTCTATCTCTTCTTCTTTGGCCCACCCTGGGCTTCATGCACTGTCACTCCAGCCTCTGTCTTTATACATTTGACGGCCCAAATTCTTTATCCTTCTGCCACAGTCTTCTACAAAGTCCTTACTCTCCATTAAGCCACTAATCTACATTTCTCATTCCTATACCCAACTAGTTGGATGCTGGGTAATAAATTAAGTTTTAAAAAATTTATTTTTGTCAAGGCAAAGTTGCTGCCTTCAAGAGTATCTGATTCCAATTCTGCCTAGAACTTTTCCTATGTCCCTGTCTGATTTTCCAGCGGCAGTCAATTCCTTCTCTTATTTTCCATAAAAATTAATTCAGTTGGGCATGGGCTTCTGCCTGTAATCCCAGCACATAGGAGGCAGAGGCAGGAGGATCTTGAATTTGCAAGACCAGCCTTGGTTACATAGTGAGACCCCGTCTCAAAAAGCAAAAAAACAACCAAAACAAACAGTATTTCACTGAGATGTTAGTCAGGCTACTGAGCAATCCCACATTAGTGGTGCCCTCCCTTCCTCTGTTCCAGCTCAGAAAGATAGAAGAGTCTTTCTTTCTGTTCTGCTTCTGTGTTTTGACTCTCATCATCTCCTGGGGCTTGGGCACTTCAGTTATCTCCATTCTGCTCCACCTGGTATCTCTCTCTGTGTACTGGCTCTTGTCCCCCCATGGACATATTCAAGTATCTGTCATCTTAATAAGAGCCAAATATCCCAAACCCTCCATTTTCTCAAGTTCACTTAGCTAATGCTAAGGCAGGTTAGCTCCATGGAAGGATGACCCTTCCTCTTAGTTCTGTGTATTCTCTCCCTGCTCCCCCTGCCACGGTTCTTCTATCCCTTGCCTGTAGTTGCTGTCCTTGAAACGCCTTACACTGCCTTGGTACTCATGTTTCAGAGGCTCATTTGAAACCAACTGTCGCTGACTTTCTGTAGAGGGTTTGGAATGCTTGACCAATCTCAGGTCCTTCACTTCTCTGACAGCACTCTCTTCTCAGCCTCCCTGGTCCCCGCTTCCTCTGGGCTTCTCTTTGGCTCCTCCATGGATTCCTTTTCCTTTGATGTTTTCTAAGTGATTGAACTCTCAAGGGTCTTCTCAGCTCTCCTCTTGTCCTCACTTGACACATTGTCTGGTTCAACCACAGAAGTGGAACCAGTAGTAAATGTACATCTAAGATTTTCTTTCAAGAAATTGGCATGTATGATTGTGGAGCTGGCATCTGAAATCTGTAATTCAGGAAACCAGGAAGGACAAGCTGCCACCAGCAGGTGGAATTTCTTCTTCAGCAGTGATAGCCTTTCCACTGATGGATTCAGCCCACCTAGATCCTCTGGGACAACTGATTACAGACTCTAATAGCATCTACAAAACCCCACTCAGTGCAACACATAGATGAGTGTTTGAAGCCCTGGGAGCTGTAGTCTGACCCAGGGGACATATCTAACTGACCATAATACTGTCTTTCAATGACCTCATCCATTCTTGTGGCCACAATGCTCAGGTATATTCCAACAGACCCTACATCTCTCTCTCTCTCTTCATGGTCCATCCCTCTCTGCAGACTCAACTAGTCTGGATGACTGAATATGATGTTCTCACACGCACTTCAGGTGTTCTCGGTCTGCCTGCATTAGTCTGCTAGGTTTGTCATAACAAAGCACACAGACCAGATGACTTAAACAACAGAAATTCATTTTTTAATTTTAATTTTTAGGTTTTTGAGAGAAGGTCTCACTAGGTAGTAGCACAGTCTGGCCTCAAACTCCCAATCCTCCTTCCTCAGCCTCCTCAGTGCTGGGATTATGGCATGAGCTACTATGCTCAGGTCATAAATTTATTGTCTTGTAGTTTGGGATGCAAGAAGTCCTAGGTC